GGATTCCTGGTGGATGCTTGAAGATGGTTGAAGTGCTTTTGGCGGTCAGTAGAGGAATCATGAGGATCCCTGGGGATTTGTGTTGCGGAACCCTCAAGATTCTTGAGGAATGCCGAATGATTCCCTGCAGGGTTTTTGAGGTGTCCAACTGGTTCCTGAAGGACGATTCTTGCAGGATTCCAGAAGTTTCTTGCTTGCTGTCTGAAGGTTTCCTGCGGGTTCCTGGTGGCCCCTGATAGATGCCCGAAGATTCCTGAAAATTCGCTGCTCCTCCCACCAGAGCAACATGTCCCGCAGATCGCCTTCAGACCTGGGGCCGCAGATGACGAGCTCGAGGCGTCGAGCGTCGCGCCGTCTCTCTGAGGCCGCCGCGGCCCCTCGCCGAAAGGAACTACCAGCGAGTCTGAGCAAGGAGTTCAGCGAGAGGCCAACAACTCAGCTCTAATATGCGGGCAATAGTTATATCCACATCCAGTGCGTCTTGGATTCTTGGGCTCTCTTCCCCAGAAAACGTAGACGCACTGGATATGGATAAAAATCTGGCCCCAAGAGGCTTGATTTTATCCATATCCAGTGCGCCTCGGCGTTGCGGCACCTCTTCCCAAAAGTCCACGACGCTCTGGATATGGATATAAGTAGTGCCCGCACTAATACATGGATGAGTCAGCCGGACAGCTTTTTTAAACAGCCTTCCCCAGCGCTTCGCGTCAAAATGTTGAGGGGGGGTCTCTCAGGATGACAAAGGTCTGTGACGCTCTCAGGATCAAGGATGGAGGTTCGAGCGAGGATGGAGGTGCGGTTGTTTTATTCGATTGTCCCGGGGGTTGAGAGAGTTCCTGAGGGTTCCCAAGAATTTCCGGATAATTCCTGAGAATTCCAGACATCCGCCGGCTGTCCTACGACTCCAGAGGAGTCCTCCAGGTCTTTAAAGATTCCTGAGGATTTCTGCTGGGTTCCCGAATGCGCGAAGGATTCCTGAGGATTCCTGCAGGTTCGCTGCCGATCCCCCCCCCCTGCATAATGATTTTTCTCTATGTCGGCGATACGGATAACTGGTGGAGGGGGGGAGGGGGGGCGATTTTTCGCGCTTCGCGTATCCTCACCAGCGGAGTTTCCGCTCTCCCCGTCAGTCGGTGGTGTCGCCCCCCACCGTACTGGCCTTCGCTTTTCCGCTCAAGTCGCGGTTTCTCTCCCCCTCCGCGGGGCCGTCGGCTGCCCCTGACACCGCTCTGGCTTTTGTGCCCTTACCACGCTGCGGTCGCTTCCCTGGTCTCAGGCCCGGGTCTTCCCCGTGGTGCCGTTGCTCGCCTGTCGCCACCTTCGGTGTGCTGACTTCGGGCTCGCGACCCTGTTCAAGGCTCTTGGTGAGTGCCATCCTGGCGCCACTTCACGCACTGGTCCGTGGTGACCTTTGCCATTTTGGCTGCGCGGCAGCTTTGCTGCTTTTCGTACTTGTGCGTTTTGCTGCCATGGGACTGTGCGGCTTCGGCCACCCTGGGTTCTCGCAGCTCGCCAACGCTCTCGCCTTTCCGGCTTCAATTCGGCCTTGACCGACGGTCCTTCTGGCCGCGGCCACCCTGGTACTCACGCAGTTGTCCGGGGTTCGCGCCCATGCATTAATTCCTCGGCTTCTGACCCTGGTCGTCGTTTGTCCCGACTTCCTGGTGCTTCCGACGCCATGCGTATTTGCACGCTGGCAGTTCGACTCAGTTTCAGCTGCGTCCTCCACTCGTCGGTCCGCCGCTGAGCTGCTGCGTGAGGCCCCGGTTAGCCGCTCTAGGTGTGGCCGCCCTCCGCGGCTTTAGTTTAATTCGTCGCTGCGTGCCCCGCTTTGACTGGACCCACCGCCGGCGCGCTCGCCCGCGGCCGCTGACTAAAAGTATCCTCGCCAGTCCGTTCAGAAACCCTCCCCATGAGATTTGACGGGGAAAGGGACGCATAGACACATCTAGGAAACAAAGCTAGTAAACAGGGTGAACCGGGAGACCTCTGGAAACAAAGGGGGGGGCTTTGGGAGGCCTCTTCGGGCCATCCCTGGGGGCCGCGTGGGGGCAAGGGGAAGAGGAGGAGGAAGAGGAGGAGGAGCAGGAGGAAGAGGAGGAGGAGGAGCAGCAGGAACAGGAGGACGATGACGTTGATGAGGACCAGGACGAGGTGGACGAGGACTAGGCTGCTGCTGCTGCTGCTGGTGCTCTCTGGGAGTTTTGGAGGCCCTCTTGGAAACCTCTTGGCAACCATGGAAGGCTTCTTGGGACCATCTTGGAGGCCATCGATTACAGGATATGGGAGTCCCCAACTCAGCTCCCCCCTCAGGAGCCGGCAACCCGCTTCTTCGGACTCTCTTGGAGCGCTCTTGGAGCGGTCTTGGAGCCCTTTGGAGCATCTTGGGAGCCATCTTGGGCCAGCTTGGGCTATTTGAGCCATCGTGGAGGTCATCTTGGGCTCTCTGAGGCCGTTGGGTGGCCTCTGGGGGGCCTCTCGGGTTCTTCTTGGGGCCCTCTTGGGACCATTTTGGAACCCTCTTGGGGCTCTCGTGGGGCTCCCTTGGGAGCCTTGGAGCGCCTCTTGGGGCCATCTTCAATGCTATCGCTCAAAGAAGGGAAGCTCCCGATCGAGGCCCCGCCCTTTCAGGGCCACGATCCACGTGAGGGGTGTCAAAAATGGCCCTTCAAGGGGCCGAGAAAAGGCCCTCCACCGACCCGGGAACCCCCCTGACAAGTCATGGGGAGGGGGTAGGGTGAGGGTCAAGAGTCTCCCTCCCCGCTCGCAAGACGTTCTGCTCACTCCCACCCGCCCTCCCAACACATACGTAGCACCCGAGCATGGCCCGAGCCGCAGCATATGCAGCAGTCGTTTTTGGATGGCCAGCTACTGGGTGCCAATCCGCCGCCGACGCCGCCGCCGCCGCCTCCGCCACCGCCGCCGCCGCCGCCGCCGCTGCCGCGCCGCCGCCGCCGCCGCCGCTGTCCGCCGCCGCCGCCGCCACCGCCGCCGCCGCCGCCGCCGCCGCCGCGCCCTGCAAATCGCCGCTGCCGCAGCCGATGCCGCCGCAGCCGCTGCCGCCACCGCTGCCGCCGCCGCCGCAGCCGCCGCCGCCCCCGCCGCCGCCGCCGCCGCCCCCGCCGCCGCCACCGCCGCAGCCGCCGCAGCCGCTGCCCCCGCCGCAGCCGCCGCAGCCGCCGCCGCTGCCAAGTGTACTTTGTATTCTTGTTTTGACAGGGATGGTGGGGGGAGGCCGCATCGGGTTCGTTGCGCGTGCTCTGACTTGGAAACAGAGTGTGCTTTGTATTGTTGTTTACAAGGGATGGTGGGGGCAGGGTGTGGTTTGTATTGTTTTGTGCAAGGGATGGTGGGGGGGAGCCCGCGTGGACCTGGGTTGGCTCCCAGTCGCCTGGGGGAGGGGGTGTATACTAATAGGGAACAGCGATCAAGATCCCCTCCCCGCCCGCATGCCGTTTCTCTCACCCCCACCCGCCCTCCCAACACATACGTAGCATCCGGGTCTGGCCCGAGCCTCAGCCTATTCAGCTGTCGTTTTTTGGATGGGCAGCTGCTGGGTGCCAATCCGCCGCCGCTGCCGCCGCTGCCGCCGCCGCCCGCCGCAGCCGCCGCCGCCGCCGCCGACCGCCCGCCGACGCCGCCGCGCGCCGCCGCAGCCGCCGCCGCCGCCGCCCGCCGCCGCCGCCGCCGCCGCCTCCGCCGCCGCCGCCCCCGCTGCCAAATCGCCGCCGCCGCAGCCGTTGCCGCCACCGCCGCCGCCGCCGCCGCAGCAGCCCCCCCCACCGCTGCCGCCACCGCAGCCGCCCCTGGCGCCGCCACCGCCGCAGCCGCTGCCCCCGCCGCAGCCGCCGCAGCCGCCGCCGCTGCCAAGTGTACTGTGTATGGTTGTTTTGACAGGGATGGTGGGGGGAGGCCGCGCCGGGTTCGCTGCGCATGCTTTGGATTTGGAGACAGAGCGAGAGTGTGTTAGTATTGTTTTTAAAAGGGATGGTGGGGACAGAGTGTGGTTTGTATTGTTTTTTACCAGGGACGGTGGGGTGGGCCCGCATGGACCTCGGTTGGCTCCCAGTCGTTCGGGGGAGGGGGTGTATACTAACAGGGATCCCGCCTGGAAGCCGTCTCGCTTGCCTCCACCCGCCCTCCCAACACATACGTAGCACCCGAGCATGGCCCGAGCCGCAGCATATGCAGCAGTCGTTTTTGGATGGCCAGCTACTGGGTGCCAATCCGCCGCCGACGCCGCCGCCGCCGCCTCCGCCACCGCCGCCGCCGCCGCCGCCGCTGCCGCGCCGCCGCCGCCGCCGCCGCTGTCCGCCGCCGCCGCCGCCACCGCGCCGCCCGCCGCGCCGCCGCCGCCCGCCGCCCGCCGCGCCCCCGCTGCCAAATCGCCGCCGCCGCCGCCGCTGCCGCCGCAGCCGCTGCCGCCACCGCCACCGCCGCCGCCGCCGCCCCCGCCGCCGCCGCCGCCGCCGCCGCCCCCGCCGCCGCCGCCGCAGCAGCCGCACCCTCCGCCGCCGCCGCCAAGTGTATTATGTATTGTTTTTTTTGACATGGATGGTAGGGGGAGGCCGCATCGGGTTGGCTGCGCATGCTTCGAATTTGGACGCAGAGTGTAATCGTATTGTTTGTTACAAGGGATGGTGGGGGGTGCCCTCATGGTTCCTGGTCGGCTACCAGTCGCCTGGGTGTTTATTCGCAGGGAGTTGTGTCTAAACCGTTCCCCGAAGGGGCAGAAGGGGTTTTTGGAAAAGGAAAGAAATAATCTCGTTAGACCACCTACGTCCAGGGGGCTGGTGGGATTGCATGCCACGGTTCTTCCCCGGATTTTCAGGGAGGCCCAGGTGGCCGCCCAAGCACCCCTCACGCGTCCCAGCGGGCCCCCGGGCTCCGAAGCAACGCGGACAGCTGGGGACACTTTCGGGCAACGGGCCGCTACTAGTAATATCAGAGGGAAGATGGCCGAGGAGCAGGGAGGAGGAACGAGGTGGTACAGGGCGGAGGAGAAGGGCGGGTGAGGAAGGATGGGGTGGGTGCCATCGCAATCGCCCGCGTCGGCGGGCGCCCACGCCACCAGCCGCGCGATTCGGCGCCCGCGGGCGGCCGGGCGGCGCCGGCGACCCGTGGCGCAGTGGAAAAAATACGGCTGGCGTTGTCGCACCGCTGCCGGCCCCAGGGGCTAGCACGCAAGGAATCCAGTTGGCGAGATGTCGCGCGCGGGCAATGTCTAGGTCCATACCCATAGCATCTCGCAGTTTCGGATCTCTTCCCTCGGGCACAATTGCGCGGTGGATATGGATGTAACCATTTGGCGCTTCGTGGTGCTTAAAATTGTCCATATGTATATATATATATATATGTGTGTGTATTGCGCCTCTGGTGTTTGGCATCCCTTCCACTAGCATCTAAGACGCCGTGGGTAACGACCTGATTCTGACTCGCGCTCCAGACCACGCCCGACTAGAATAAGGATAAATAATTCATTCCAGAGCGTTCCATATGTTCCTGATCGCTGCTTTCAACCGGCCGCGGCGCCTGGTATATTCTCCAGATCCGCTTTTTGTTTCTAGAGGTTCCCGATACTATTCCTCTGGATTCATTCTCGCCCTGCCGTCGTCTCAGCGTTTAGCGGAGAGAGTTGCCTCCCTCTCCTCCTCCTCCTCCTCCTCCTCCTCCTCCTCCTCCTCCTCCTCCTCCTCCTCCTCCTCCTCCCCTCCTCCTCCTCCCCCTCCTCCTCCTCCTCCTCCTCCTCCTCCTCCTCCTCCTCCTCCTCCTGGTCCTCCTTCTCTCCTCCCCCTCCCCCTCCTCCTCCCTCCTCCTCCCCCTCCTCCTCCTCCCCCTCCTCCTCCCTTCCTTCTCCTCCTCCTCCTTCTCCTCCTCCTTCTCCTCCTCCTCCTCCTCCTCCTCCTCCTCCTCCTCCTCCTCCTCCTCCTCCTCCTCCCTCCTCCTCCTCCTCCTCCTCCTCCTCCCTCCTCCCTCCTCCTCCTCCTGCTCCTCCTCCCTCCTCCTCCTCCTCTTCCTCCTCCTCCTCCTCTCTCCTCCTCCTCCTCCTCCTCCTCCTCCTCCTCCTCCTCCTCCTCCTCCTCCTCCTCCTCCTCCTCCTCCTCCTCCCCCTCGTCCATCGTGCCCCTCATGCTGGTTCCTGCGGCTCCGCCCGCGCGAGGCGCCGCCACGCGCGGCACCGTGGCGAGGCGCTCTTTCTTTTGCGGGCTGTGCTGCGGCGGTGTTGCACACCGCGACGTCGCGGTGATGCGCCTGGACTGCCAGGGCGCCGTCCATGGGACCCGTGTCCAATAGCGGCTCCGCCGGGCGAGCCGACGGCGGTGCCCGACGCGATGTCCTCGACGGTCGTGGACGCCGCGCTGCTCGATCTCACCCAGATCGGCACAGGTCGGAGGTTATCCTCCCCCCTGGCGCCTTGCGGCGGTGCCTCGTCGCAGCGCTCGTCGCTGGTGTGCCGAGGTTTCGCATAGATCTGGGATTGCCCTCGAACCCCCACCGCCTGTCGGCGGTGCCTCGGGCCAGCACTCCTCGCTGGCGCGTCGAAGTGGCGGCGGTCGCTGGTCCGAGATCCCCGAGGATGCCAGGTGGGTAGTTGAGCTGGCCGCCGCCGAGTGGACGCGTTCTCACTCCTGTCCCCCCCCATCTTTCCTCCTCCTCCTCCTCCTCCTCCTCCTCGTTCCCTCCCTCTGGTTCACCTGATACTCTGCTCATGCTCCTCTTCCCTCCTGCGCCCTCATCCCTCCTCTTCACTCCTCCTCCCTCCTCCGCCCTCCTCCGCCCACCTCCGCCCGTCTCCTCCTCCTCCTGGTCCTCCTTCTCCTCCTCCCTCCTCCTCCTCCTCCTCCTCCTCCTCCTCCTCCTCCTCCTCCTCCTCCTCCCCCCCTCAGCATATCATTATCTTCCTCCTCATCCCTCTCCTCCCCTTCGCGGTGTATTCATCTCTAGCCAGTCGCTCCTCTGGTGAACGCTGTGGGTCAGCATCAGTGCTCGCGGGCAGTGCAGTCATCGTTAGCTGGAGCGTGCATTGAAAAGTATGACCGGGCTCGATTATTCAAGTGGCTTACGCCATTCCGCCGACCCCCACAGGGAGTGAGTGTTTGAGACGATCGTGGTAGTTATATGTTGGGTCAGAAGCCTCCTGGAAGAATCTGAGGGTCTCTTGAGATACCTCTCTGGGGCCTATTGGAGTATCTTGGGGGCATGTGGGAGGCTTTGGGGGGGCATTGTGGGGGCCTCTGGGGGGTTTCTTGAGGGCGTCTTGAAGGCCTCTTGGGGCCTCTTGGAGGGACCTCGGGGGCCGCGGGGGGGGCTCGAGGGGCCATCTCGGTGGGAAAGGCTAGACATATCAGTTCACATTCCCCCTCTTGGGCTTTCTTGGGCCCTTCTTGGGGCCTTCAGGGGCTGTCGTGGGCCGTCTTGCGGCCTTCTTGGAGGCATCATGGGCCATCTTGGGGCGATCTTGGGGGCCACTTAGGCCGTCGTGTTCGCTGTCCAAACGAGAGATGCGAATGTGCTGAACATGCACGCGTTTCCAAGGTCCTGGGATGAGTTCCCGCCTCTGGGAGCCCTCTCGGCGATCCTCTGGAGGCGCTTTGGGGCTGTCCTGGGGGCCTCGCGGGCCATCTTGAAGCCATCTTGGATCGTCGGGGGGCGACCGTGGGCTGTCATGGCGCTCTCTTCGACTGTCTTGGGGCTCTGTCTGGGCCCTGCTGGGCTGCCTTGGGGCTTCTTTGGGGGCTCCAGATGCCCCGGGGGTGCGTTGACCAGCTCCTCCCCCCCCCGCCCCCTTGATTACCCGCGGGGGCGAGCACGAGGAGCCCGAGCGAGGATTACGTGTTGCGAGCGGCCGAGGCAGAGTCTATGATCCCCCCCCCTGACTACCCGCGGTGGCCGGCACGAGGAGTTCGAGCGAGGATTGCACGCGGCGAGCGGCCGGGGCAGAGTCTCTTATCACGAGGCTGCCTCGGGGACTCGAGCCTGCTGGCCAACGCTAGTCAGTATGAAGCTGCAGCGCGTGGCCGTCGACCGCCGGCAGAAGGCGATGCGCGCATGCGGATCTCAGAGCGCCCGCGGTCAATGTCGGCTCAACAAGGAGGCCTACAGGAAGCTGGATACACATGGCGTGGTTGGCCAGGGCGGCAGTCCTGTAGGCATGCGACCGCATGTCGTTGCAGCGCCCGGCCTTCGTGTGCCTGGGGTTGTTGGCCTTCTGCGGGAGTTTCCAGCGCGTGCCCCCCCCCCCGCGTGCTCTGCGCCAGGAGTCATCCCAGATTCTTGGTAGAGCCGCGGGCCACCTCAGCCGCACCTGCATACTTACTCCTCGCGTGACACCGCTATCGCATGTCTTTGCCTCCATGCTTCCATCCGGGCGCGCCGCGGCCGCACCGCCGCGCGGAGGCGCGGAGGCCAGCTCTGGATGCAGCAGGCGCCGCTGCCGCCCCAGATCAATACGTTCTGACCCGCCCGTGCCTTTTCCTGGTGGCCTCAGGATCCCCTCCTCTGGCAGGCACAGCACCTAGCCAGGGTGTGGCGCCTGCCGCTATTAGAGGCAGGCCTAGGCCAGGCCGGCAGCAAAGGGTCAGGAGACTGGTGCGATAGCGAACAGAGGGGCGAATAGAGGGAAACAGCTGGCGATGAGGGGCCGTAGATGGATGAAGCGACATCAGAGAAGGAAGCGGAGGAGAAGGAGGAGGAGGAGGAAAAGGAGGAGGAGGAGGAGGAGCAGGAGGAGGAGGAGGACCACTGTAAGCCCAATATCAATCAACGATGATGAAAGACACCCTCCCTCAAAGATCCCTTTTCGTAGGCCCCTACAAGGGGTCATTTCCACTGAGGATTGCCCCGTTGGGGGGCAACTGTGTGAACATCATGAAGCGTGCCAAAACACTATTCTCCTGACTTCAACGCCACGAGTTAATCTGACTGTTACGTCTTGGCGGAGGAGTAGGAGGAGGCGGAGGAGCAGGAGGAGGGATAATGCAGATGAGGATGAGAGGAGGAGAACAAAGTGACTAGAACATGCAGTTATGGCTGAGACTGGTGGCATGAGCTTGAACTTCTAGCCAAGACTGGTGACTAACCTTGAGCCTCGATTCATGCGAGATGATTCGACCGCTGAGGTGAATTTCGCGGTTGTCCTGGAACAGAAACCATGACCCCCGACGTCATGATTTTTTTTCATGACGTCGACCCCCAGCGGACTGGACCCATTCCCTGGGACCCGTTTTTCGTCCTGAGTCGTGTTCTGACGGTCCCGAGGGCCAGTAAGGGCCCCCAGAGGCCAAAAATAATGAATTAGCCAGCCGAAGGACCCAACCATATGCAGTTGTGAATGCCGCAATTGTGAATACCATCTTCGCCCACGCTCCCTATGTGGCCACGGCTTCCCGCCGGAACCCGACATGCTCAGGAACACGTTCGTGGCCGTCTTCGCGGGCGCCGACGACGACAAGGACGGCGTCCCTCTGACCGAGGAGCAGAAGCAGGAAAGGGTTTTGAGAGCCACGAGGGAGGAGGTGGCGTTGCACGTCGACAAGGCGGAGTACGACGCCCAGGCGCGGTTGTTGAAACAGCACAACTATGGGGCCACGATCCTCGTGAGGGGTGCGCCGAAATGGCCCGGGGCCGCCATGCGAACCCTGCCACTGGGGGCCTTCGGTGAGCCCCATATGGGGCCACGATCCTCGTGAGGGGTGTGCCTAGATTGCCCGAAGCCGCCGTGCGAACCCTGCCACCGGGGGCCTTCGGTGGAGCTCCCTACGGGTCCACGATCCCCGCGAGGGGTGTGCCGAAATGGCCCGATGCCGCCGTGCGCACTTTGCTGCTGGCGCCTTCGGTGAAGCTCCTCATGCGGCCGCGATCTTCGCGAGGGGTGTGCCGACGTGGCCCGAGGCCGCCGCGCGAACCTTGCCGCTGGCGCTTTATTCGGTGGAGCCCCCGATGGGGCCACGATCCTTGCGAGGGGTGCGCCGACATAGCCCGAGGCCGCCATGGGGCCCTGCCGCTGGGACCTTTGGTGGAGCCCCCTATGGGGCCACGGTCCTCGCGAGGGGTGTGCCGAAATGGCCCGAGGCCGCCGTGCGCACTTTGTTACTGGCGCCTTCGGTGGAGTTTTTATGTGGCGACGATCCTCGTGAGGGGTGTGCCGAAGAAACCCGAGGCCGCCATGCGCACTTTGCTACTGGCGCCTTCGGTGGAGCTCCTACGGGGCCACGATCCTCGTGAGGGTGATGATGCTGCTGATGATGATTATGATGATGATGATGATGATGATGATGACGAAGAGG